CAAGTTTTGTTGAAAGCCGTCAACAAGGTTTCTCTGTCGAATATTTTAAGTTTCTTAAATTTCAGATTAAGTTGTCTTATACAATCATAATCATTCCAAACGTTGTTTTACTTTTTTGTTTATAAGAAAAAAACTTATTTCTAAATGAGAAAAACTTATATATATATATATATATATATATATAAATGTGTTTCATTTAAACGGATCAAAGACAGCAGTAAATAAATTAGTGTTATTGGTGAAAATTTATTTATTTCTCTATTGGATCATGTTATTTTAAGTCATGGCAATTATGTGTGAAATATATATCGCCCAAATAAATCCGAAAGCAAAAGCAAAAAAATCATTAGACGCTTAAACCTAATTCCCATTAAAATTGGTCCAATTTATTTGAACACCAGTCAGATGCATATTTATTTAGGTAAATGCTCTGATTTTAGTTAAACGGTATTAATTACATTTATCGACCTGAATGATCGAGAAATTTCGTAGAATATATCCGTCCTTGACAGGAATCGAACCTGTATTTCTATACGGAATGTGTCATTTTATATAACGTGCTTTTACACTTAGCTATAGGGAAAAAGTTCCAATTGCTGTTGATAAATACAATCTTCGACCGATCAAATGCTCAGTAAACGTTCTTCGAACATTCAGACCGTCAAATGTAAATAATAATATTTAATTAAAAACAGCATTTCCTCAAATAAATTGTATCTATAAAAATAACATATAAACAGAAAATATATTAAATAATTATATATATATATATATATATATATATATATATATAACAATGGGTAGGATTAAAAAATGTGCATATACGTGCAAATACTTTCATGTACGTGAGTATCTTTATTCCTAAGTTGTTATAAACAGAAATTTAAATTTCAAATTATTTTTTATTTTTTTTTATTTTTACATTATTTTATCTCTCTGACTTTCGAACTCACAAATTTGAAATATATAAAGTATTAACAGTTGATTCAAGATTTTACACCTAATTTTGAATCACCATCACGGGAACGCGAGAGATAACGGTCAGAATTCATACCTTAAGATTGCATTAACTGCATAAAGCTGGATATTATTTATATTCACTAATTATTTATATAATAAATTTGGGTATGTATTTTTATAAATTATTGACATTTGCAAAAAACGTTCGTCAAAGTATGTTTCGAAAATAATATCCGATATTGACCTGGAGAATGCATGAATAAAAACAGTATATATATATATATATATATATATATATATATATATATATATATATATATATATATATATATAAGTAATTCATCGAGTCTAGAAGAATCCTCGAAAGAATGCAGAAGACATCGGTTTCCTCCTATTTTGAGACTCATCAGCAGTGGGCATCCATTAACGAGATTGGAACCCGAGATTTGCACCCGAGATTTGAACGATGCAAGCTTCTTACCAACTATACCAAAGAGTCTCGGTGACAAAAGAAAAGCTTAATAGCCTCGATAGAGTGCTGCTACTCTGAAATTCCGTGGTGATATTTGTCCCAACATATATTTGTGTCTGTGTGTGTGCACGCGTGTGTGGGTGTGGTGATATTCATCAAATAACCCAACATATATTTGTGTGTGTGTGCGCACGCGAGTGTGTGTGCGCGCGTGTGTGTGTGTGTATGAAGTTTTTCAGATTCCTGAATAAGATAATATTTATAATTTTGTGTCTGCTGAGTTTCTGGTTCTTCCTCTGCGGACTGATAATGATACTTCACCAAAACCGCATATGTTGATGTATAATTTTACAAATTTTTATAGTGGCTGTTTCCAGTTCGTTGAAAGCTAAGACAAATCTTTTATAAACAATAACTGTCATTATATTCTTGTCGTCTGTGATATTACCATGATAATTAAATTTCTAGTTTCCTTGATTTCTACGTGATTGGATTCCCACATTGTAATCTCTTATTTGCTGACACTCATTCAATTAATAGTCGATTGATAAACTATCCTCTTCATATCTAATGTTAATCTATTCGACACCAATTATATAACCAAGTAGGTTTTATTGTTATGTTGAGATCAACTTGTTTTATACTTTAAATAAATTCATACGGAAAACTATCTTTCCTTTACTTCTTTTTCGGTTACGTATATTCACGGATCTGCATTGTGGTATCATGGATATCGACTCGGAATGAGAAATTGAGGACCCATGTTCGAATTCCAGTCGAGTTTGTTATATTCACTCACGCAAAAATAGCCATGGTAAAATTATAAATCAATTAAAATATTGGTGGAACTCTCAACCAGTACACCGCAGAAAGAAATAGCAACCTACATCGAGAAAAAAAAATAGTCTTCTTTCTAGTCAATCATGTATCAAAATACACATGATCGCGCATGCGCGTATCACGTATGGCACTAAACTGATCGATAGTCACGGAACTAGTTCTCTTTCCGAATTCTGACTGAACATTGTCAAAAATAATTCACGGATTAGCTGAAAATATTTCTGCTTGGCATTCTTATATCACCGAGCATATGTTCTTACTAATTAGACTCTTGAAGAAGGCCTCGCAGCACAAAAACCAAAGTGTTGTTATAGCAAATTTATGGACATCGTTCCGAATATTATTGTTCATAATATTATACCGAAAGGAATATTTGCTATCATAATTTTATTATTTTTAACAAAGGTATCCAGGTCTTCATTTCTTAAAATTAAGATAAAATACACAGTTGAAATAACTACGTTTGAATAAACAAGAATGCTGGGAATATTTGCCCAATTATAATAAATTGTGATGAAAGTTAGAATTAAAGAAAACTGATTGGGATGAGAAGAATACGTTTACATTTTACCTGCCGTTTGATCTTCATTTTGACACAATCTTCTCAGCAGAATACACTTTTTAGCGTAAATTCATTGGTAGGAAGACAGATCTCAATAGAAGCTTCTAACGAGGAGGAAAACAGAATCTGAACAAGTCTTTCCTGACTAGATTGAGCCCAGATTCAAGGTTAAATTACTTCTTCAATGATCACATTAATTTTGTTCAAAATGTATTAATACTCTTGATTCATAAGAATTTCAATATGAAAATTTTTTACTCGTTTGTTTTTCGATTTATTATTTATCGCTATGTTTATCACCTCCCCTCTTTTCTTTATTTTTTCCTTGGAGTGCGAAATCTTTTGAGGCACTCTTAAATGATAATTTGTAACAGAAATTCCAAATATCGTTTTCTTATTACAAGTATAAGTTTAATTTTAGCCCTTATTTTTGCAGAAGAAGGAATGACTAACCAACAGTTGACCTCTCACAATTCAAATGATGGGTTTTGATGGCCATAAATTACAGATTATTTGAATAGATCATGAGATATTCTGAAGGAATAAAGCTTAATTAATTAATCGATTGTTTGACGTTAAACAATGAGAAATACAATGTAATGAATGACTTCGTTTACTCTAAGAGGTTTTAAGGTGTAACATCATGAAATAAAAAAATAAGTTTTAATTCATTTAATGTTGAGAATTCATCTCTTATTTATTCATCGAAAATCTCATTTAACTTTAGACGCCTTCCGATTACGAGCATTTCTAAATGTGAATAATATGAACAGAATAAACAAAGATGTTGAAATTCAATCCCAAAACATTTTAAAATTATCTACCACGATAATATTTAGAAATATTCTGTACCTCAGAGCTAAGAACGGAGACAAGTTTTTAGCAAAAGAAAAAAAAGAAGTATGTAATGCGAAAAGTACGCAGATGCAGGCTTTACGAAACATTTATTTAACTGAGAATACGAGGTTCGCTTATAGTGCTCTTTTATAGTCCAATTGTGGAGTAATGGATAGTGGCTCGGATTGAGGAATTGGAGAGCTGAGTTTGGATCCATTACATTCACTTACGAGCTAATATCCTTGGGAAAGGTATGAATCCTATTCAGCTGTGGGTAAATAGCAGGACAGTCCGGGTTCTATAGACTTGGATAGTAACTGATCTAACGCAGAAAGAAATGGCAACCTACTGCGGGAAAAAACTGCATCGTTAGTCATGTATCAAAAGATACATGATCGCCTAAGCGTGTATCACGAATGGCACATAACTTTCTGAAATATAAATAGCTTTCTCAAAGAGGAGAGCATCAAAACAAGGGGAGATCACTCTTGATAATAATAGAGTATAATATAGATTCGATTGTTTTGAGCATAACAAACGATAAATTTCGGATTTATTGAACCATTAAATTTAAAAAAAGTGTTTTGTGATGATTCAATGATTCAAGAAATGATAAATATTGTATAGCTGTTCGGTTCTTGACTAAATACTCACGCATAGGTCTGCATAATCCATTTTGGTCTCTATCAAGGTTGGACAGTGAAAACAGAACAACACCGACCAAGCTATATTGCAATACACCATTTCCGGTGTGATTGATTTTGCCTCTGATCTGATAGAGGCTAGCAGGAGATGCAAGGTAATTTACGCAGCGGTTGAAAGGACGGCCATTCTGCCAGCATCTCCAGTGATAAAACGTAAATTGTATCGGTCAAAATAATTTTAAACATGAAATATAACCACTATCATTTTAAAAATAGTCAAAGTGAAATTTAAATCAACTCTAAGCTAATATAAACCCGATGTTGTGTTTTGATCTGGTGAGAGAATTGCTTCAGTCGTATATCTATGTTAGTCGGCCATTGCAAGTAAATATTATGATCCTGTTTGCAATAGATTGATTGATATGATTTTGAGGCTTATCAACCTTTTGCAGGTTATTTAAATCCAACAAATACTTATAGATTCTAAAATGTTTGGAGAGATAATAATGACTTACGGATAAAAGCTCAAAAATTAACCCATAGCTAGTGGTGAGAATTGGTGGTTTCATGCCTTTCGAAAGGATATTTGTTCCTAAGTGAATATAATGAACCCAAAAAAATCGTAATCGGCTCTATGATTACCAATTCCGAGCCATTATCCGTTGAACCAACATGCAAACTGAAGCTTACATCACCTAGTATTCCCAAGCGGTCCCCCATTTAGGTACTGTCCAGGCTTGACGTTGCTTAACTTCAGTGATCGTACGAGCGCCGGGGTTTCAACGTAATATAGACGTAAATAATACCACCCGCAAAACTAACCTTACAGCACCTGCTATTCGCAAGCAGTCACGCATCAAGTTACTGATTAGTTTAGACGTTGCTTAACTTCGAGGTTCGTACGAGAACTGGTGTTACAACGCGATATGACCGTAAGACCTGAGTGAAATAGAAAAGCAGCAAGTATAATGTCATTTCATTTATTGGTTAGGGAATTTCAGCCTTTCTTTGGTTTGATAGGAATCATATTTAAACCAGTATTAATTTAAGAGATAGAATTACGAATCTTGAATTAATTGAGGCATCTCTTATCTAAAATTAATTCAACAGGGTTCATATTCGATGTCGGTTTTTCAGAAAGTGTTCTATTCGTTATTTGATTAATTCAAAAGAATTATTACTTCCAGAATATTAAGGAAACCTTCATGAATCTAAAACAATTCCATTGGGTAATGAATTATCTCTCTGCATTACTAATAAAAACACAAACCGAAATATTTCAGACACAACATTATATTCTATTCGACTAGGGAATTCAATTATTTCAGTCATTGTGTGTGTCGGCGTGAGTGTTTGTGTGTGAGGGGGTATGTGTGTGTGTATTTGGGTCCTCACCGGAATGTTGATCTTATATTGTAATGTGCGATGTAACAGATTAGTTTTCCAACGTGGTGGTTGCTTATATATCTACCTCTGTCATATCTTTCATGAATGCTTAGCTCTACAGGGTACAATGAATAAATTGTAGTCTAAATTACGCAAAAATGAAAATAAGACTGGCATCTCATTTTAACAGATATTCTTTCCAAAATTACACATAAATATCTTAAGCTACTAAAGAGTAGATTTATTCAATAGAATCGCTATTGCATCCAAACACGGTCTCCAAACGAGTTCGGAATCTCCTGCAACTCTTATGGACAGTTTTCTTGAGAATGCTGCTATAATTCTTGCCTTCAGTTCATCTTTGGTGTTACAAAATTTGTTGATCTCTCGCTTAACGCATAATTATCAGGAGGGTGTAGTTTGGGAATTTAGCTGGTCAGATGTAAGGGGTGATGTGTTTGCAAAAATTGTCTGAGTGCATTAACTGTGCTCTCATGCTTGTGTGACATGACTCAGAGTCCTATTGCCAGACATAGGGTCTTCCAGAAGATATGCTTTTGACACGAGGCAGCATTAACTCCTTAAGGCACTTGATGTAGTCCTTCTTGTTGAGTCTGAAGCCCCCCACCCCACCAACAAACTCGGGGAGTTTTTTCTTTCTCATCAGAATGATAAGAGTAAAGTTTCCAGACAGTTGTAAATTCGTAATCACGATTAGCTTCATTCAACCCTTTACGAATCCTCTTCACTCTCCACAGATTTACACCCAGGCACTCTGAAATTACTGTATAGGAGCTTTCGACGCAAGTGCCAAGCAGTACAGCATACCGTTTCCAAATTTCTGGCAGAGTGAATATCGTTCTGGAGCTAGTTTTTTTTTTTTTTTTTCTAACAGACGTTGCCCAACTGAATATACTATACTGTGGTGTCGACAAAATCAAAAAGAAACACATTCGCCTGAGCGAAATTAAAATATAAAATGGCGGAAATTTACCAATCAAACACTGTATATCTCTCTTATAACTGGATATCTCTCATATCTGTATATCTCTTATGATTCTATATTTCTCGTACTTGTATCTCTCTTATGACTCTATATCTCTCGTATCTGCATCTCTCTTATGATTCTATCTCTCTTATGACTCTCGATCTCTTGTACCTGTATCTCTCATATCTCTCGTGTATACCGTAAGAGAGTTGGGAATATTCCGAACAATGGATTTGGCAGGATAAAGGTTTCTTTTTGGTGCGTTCTATGTCTTCTGATATATGAAAGAAGCACAGGTTGATCCCATCATGGTAAAATCGGATATATTTGAGGTAAGTCCACTTAGTTTCTTTGAACGTTTCTTGACCTAGGATGAGTCTTGGTTTCATTACTTTAAGCCAGAGACAAAGAGAGAAACCAGGCAGTAGAAACACCCATCATCGTATGCTCCAATGAAGGCCAGGCTCGTATAATCTACTGGTTTCAGTTTTGTAGAGGTACAAAATTCATTACATTAATTGGCTATCTTAAAAATGCCACGCCATCAATGGAGAGAACCGTACGAAGTTGCTGAAGGCTCTTCAAAATAAAACGCCCTGGAAAACTTATGAAAGGGGTCATCTTTCATCAGGACAATTCTCCAGCATACAAGTCCTTGGTTACAATGGCTAATCTGCGTGACTATAGCTTTGAATTGCTTGATCAATCTCACTATTCTCTTGGTTTGTTTATTATCTGTTTCCCAACATGAACAGACACTTGGCCGGGAACAAGTATTGTAGTGATGATTACGTCATGTCTGCTTGATGGACAATTTTTCTTAACAGTCGGTTTAGCTAGAAAGAATGCAGTTATTAATAAAGAAGTGTTGAAATTTATGAATGAAAAATTTCACAGTTCCATCAGCATTCATTCATAATCTGCCTATGAACTTTTCAGTCAACCATCGTATATTGTTCTACGACCTGGAGTCTTTGAGTGTAACTAAGGAATCTGGGGAGATATTGATCTCATTCGTAACTACATATTAAATCTATAGGGTCAATGTCAAAAGAACCGATCGCATTTAAGTCTCACTACATAATCATTGATTAGCAACGTATATGCCAGCCAACTACGAGTCTTAGGAAACTGGTTAATAGCAACCAATCACTCTACCTTAGGATCCGCCCTTTAATAGGCAGAGCGTTTCCAAAACAGGAATAGACGCACGATAAGGACCAAGATACACTACATAGAATAAAGATAGAAGACCGTTCACTTAATGATGTGGGTGTACGGATAACGAGTTTCCCATTTTGTTAAAAGATATAAATAATGTTTTACGATGAACCCAACTTAAAACATTCGATATACTAAAGCAACATTCAAATCCTTCTAAGCGAACTTTGTTGTTTTTTTCCGTGCTTGATCGGCTCCAAAGGAAAACTGATTATAAGAATATTCTAGAATCGAAACAATTTGTTCCTGCGAAATTAGCTGAAACGAATGAGGCATTGGATAAAGAAAGACCCTTATCCATGCACCCCCCCAAAAAAAAAACAGGTGATTATCATATATTAAGACGTAGATATGATTAAAGGAAAATACAAAGAAGATCGAAAATAAAAAGACGTCTTCCATATGCGTATCACTTTCCCGTTTTCTCAGTTTCTGTTATGGGGTCCTCCCCTTTTTCATATAAGTGGACTCGACCAGAGTGTTACTTGGACTGCTGCCCTTAAATACCCAGAGTCAGTGAGAGTACCGAGATTGAGATAGTAAGAAGACGGAGATTGTGATTGAGTAGGAGGTAGAGTAATAGTGTGAGGTAACCGCTTGTAGAAGTCAGTTACAAGCACGTAGACTCTTAGGAAGTCCTACTTCGAGACTATATATATATCTATATGTTATTACTACTAACCCCGTTCCTGGATTTACTAACAGTATTACACTTTGTATTATTGTGTAAATACATTTTATTTCTGATATTTAATTCTTGCGTTTCTCATTCACTGGAGACCAAATTTCATCTCGGAATCCATAACAGTTTCACCTATTTATTGGGTACGTTCTGTATGATATTTACAGCATGCTCAGCAATTCCAATTTGAAAAATATCGAACACTTCTTCGAGGGATTCATCGTATGAAAAACAGGATTTGTTATTTAATGATAAAATAATTCTATTAGTTTTGTTCTCTGCACGATCGGCGGTTCAAGTAATTTTTTAAAAAAAAACTTCAAAAATCCCTCGACGGATATATTGGATCAAAACTTAAAATCGTTCTTTTACGATATAATATAATTATATTTGTTTTGATCTAGGTAAGATTACTTTCCTGATCAGCAGATGAAGCAATCTGAAAAATACAAAAATCCTTCGACGGATATATCGGATCAAAAATGAACTCATTCTTTTATGAGATAATGTAATTATGTTTGTTTCTATCTAAGTACGATTCCTTGTCTGATCAGTGGTCCCAACCATAAAATATCAAAAAGCCCATCAAGCGATACTTCCTACCAAATTTGGATCTGTTTTCTTATAAGCTAGTAAAATTATATTTGTTACATTCGATATATATAACTCTTCAAATCATCACATATCAGATGTTTGGTCATATCTGAGGTTGTTCCAATGGTGTACTTGTTAATGTCTCAGGATAGGAACTGTCGAGCCAATTTCGAAATCAACTCGGTTTCGTAACATTCATTTTCGGACAGATATCCATGGGAAAGTTATCAGTCTATTTTAGTCTCCCACATAGTGAAGGCGTAGCTTTCTAGTCATGGTTGGCAACCAGTCTGTGAAAAAGACAAATATGTATTCAATCTTTTCACTGTCGAATCTGTTAAATATAGCCGTCTCTTCTACTCCAATAGCTTCATGTTTCGTACCTCTCGCCTGTGGAACTCCCTTCCCTCTTCCTGTTTCCCTGATAGCTATAATCTCCAACTATTCAAATGTAATGTCAATTGACGTCTACAGATGCCCTGATCTATCCCCTATCCTTCTCTTCATCCTTTCCTCTATCATTCCTCTTTGCTCTCGCTCCAACTCTCTGTAACCCCTTGCGTGTTAGTGGCTTCCCGAATTGCTTGAGGTGAAACGGTTATAAAAAATTGATCTCACGTTTTCCACTGACTTGTAGTGAAGCGACTACATTGAATCAATAGCTGCATCTACTGTAAGGAAAGTTGGATCACTGTACCGTGCCAGATTTTTTTTTTTTATTGTCAGAATCCATTTTGCCCATTTACAAATCTACCATTGGTTCGTGCATGGAATACTGTTGATATGGATTGGGGCTCCCGCTGTGCATTTCGAGATTCTTGACAAAATCGAAAATAAGATCAAATCATGACCCGGCATCTTGACTTCAGTCACTTTCTCACCGACATGACGTGGATTCGTGCTGTCCTTTCTACAAATATTTTCATTGCAACTGCTCTCGGGAACTTTTTTCCCTGGTGCTCCGACTACATAAATTTATGCGTACTACTAAATTGTAATGTAGGTCCCACCCGAATACTGTGGAAATAACTAAAGGCAATCGCGACTTCTACTCCAACAATTTCT